TTAAAATAATTTTTCATCATTAAAATAATACTCCTTATTGGTCAAAAAAGCAATTAATTAATTCTTAAGTTTATTCCTGGCTGAAAATCAAAGTGAGTATAAATTGTAATAGATATTTTGTACATGTCCCTTTTCCTAATACTTAATGGAATGACAGAGATTTTATTTTACAGTTATTCTCAGTGTTACAATGCTGTTTTTAAGTTTGCTATTTATTGATCATTGATATAGCTTGTGGTGGGATTAATTTGGGATACACTTAACCTTTCTTTCAATTTGAATGGTTTTCTTATTTTGTTTTTGTTGTAGGCCCACACAACACTTCTAGGTTTGGCAAATACAGAAACACATTCTTTTGCAAAGAAAAAAACTCTTCTTGGCCTGAGTAAATTAGCTGCATTAGCTTCAGACTTTCCAGAGAATGTACTGCAAGAAAAGATTGAAGGTAAAGAAGGTGAACCAAAAAACATGCAAGTCAGCTGATGTTAAATCATCTGTGTCCTAATTTAAGACATTCTACAATGCATGTGACCTCAGTTATCCTAAATATTAGCAACATGAAACACAAAAGTGGGAGCAGCACTATTCTAGATGAAACTAACATAAAGATGTTGTACCGTTTCCTGGATCACTCCCAGATAATCAAAACCGCTCTAATGGACCCTCATTTGAGCATATTCAATAGTAGATGATACTACTATATTGAGGTTAAATTCCTTAGGTCTTGACATTGATACAGTGCTTTGACCATTTTTGCTCTTAGGAGATACGTGCTAAACTATTTAGAAGTAAAATAGCTTGATGTTTGCAACATTGACTTGACTAGGAGAGGGAACATAAAGTAGTTGTTGTTGTTGTTATATGCCGTCGAGTAGCTTGCAACTCACAGCGACCTTATGTACAACAGCCCTAAACTCTGCTCTGTCCTGTGCCAGTCGCACTGTCTCCGAAACACCCATCCCGATTACCCCAGTTACTGAATCAATCCACCTCATAGAGGGCCTTCCCCTCCTTCACCGTCCCTCTACCCTCCCAAGCATAATGTCCCTCTCTAAGGACCGGTCCCTCCTTATAACATGTCCAAAGTATGTCAGACGAAGCCTCAGAGTCCTTGCCTCCAAGGAGCAGCCCGCTTTAATCCTCTCCAGGATGAATCTGTTTGTTTTCTTAGCAGTCCATGGTACCTTCAATACTTTTCTCCAACACCACAGCTCAAAGGCATCAATTCTCCTCCTATCGTCCCTAGTCATTGTCCAACTCTCTAACGCATAACAAGTGATTGCACAGACCATGTATCAGATGCGCCTTAGTCTCCAGAGAGACACCATTGCTCTTCAGTACTTTGGGGAGGTCCCTAACAGCAGACTTTCCCATCACAAAATGTCTTTTAATTTCCTGGCTGCTGGTACTAAGAGTGTTAGCTATGGAGCCAAGCAAACTAAAGCTTTGAGCACTCTCAATCTCTTCACCATCCATCCAGATGCTGCCAATTGGTCCAGTGGTGAGAATCTTTGTCAAGAAGACAAAGATAAAGTAGAGGTAGCAAATTATTAATGGCAGATAGTTAAGTAGAGAGTATACAGTGAACATTGCATTCTCTACATTTTCCTGTAGGTTTGGAATTACTCAATTTTAAAATCAAAAGAATCTCAGGTCTGTGGTCAGGAATGCAGCTCACACAGATAAGGATATTTAGTTACATTTCTTAGCCCCAGGAATCTATTCTCTGAGACAAAAATGATAAAGCTACGTCTCACATACTTTGGGCAGAGGCTATTCCTTGGAGAGGGACATGATGCTTGGAAAGGTGGGGGGACAGCAAAGGAGGGAAAGACCAGGTGGATTGACACAGTGACTGCATAGGACAGGGTTTATATCATGTTTATAGTGTTGCTATGAGTGGAACCTAACAACAACAACCAAATATTATTGGAAATCTAGTAATCATTTTGTATTAATTACTTCTTAATCTCTGCTTTGTTAACATGCTGTGGTACAAATGGTATCAAGTCAGAACCAACCCATCACTGACCCTCCAGAGGGTTTCAGAGGCAGTAAATTGTGCAAGAGGAGACTACCCATCTTTTTACTGAGGAGCAGTTGATAGATTCAAACCACATGCCTTTGCATTGGCAATGCAACTCTACCACTAGGTCACCAGATCTATCAGCTTTGTAACATAATGAAGTTATTTTCAAGTCTCTTAATCTGTCAGTTCTCTTATCAAAAGTGTGGTGGTGGTGGTGGTGTGAAGTGCCATCAAGACAACAACTATTCATAGTGAACCACACATCAGAACCTTGTCCTATACCATGCTGTCCTCACAATCTCTAATCTCTGTCATTGGGTTAGTGCAGTTCCCTATTAGCTGAAACACCAGAGATACCCAGCTAATGTTAGGAGGTCATTTTAGGGCTTTCTCCCTTTACCTTTTTAAAGGTGGTTTATTATATAAATAATTCCTTATGGTCATTTTTTAATTTTAAAAAATAAGCCACACATACACACACACAAAATTACATTGTCTGTAATCTCACCTTCCCAGAGATAATGGTAGTTAGAATTTAAGTGTTTTGTTTAATTTCTAAAAATTGAAATCATAAGGAATGATAATCTGTTTAGGTCCTTTATTTTACTTTGACTTCCGTATTTATGAGACAGAATAGTAGTTCTTAACCTTTCATCATCTGTTACCCAACACAATAGCCATAGCCTGTTGATGGAGTGCAGCTGGCTGCTGACAGTATATAATACAGAAAGGAAGGAGCAGTCCTTTATCCCATTTCATAGGAAGTGCCATGGCTAGCTGATGGACAAGGTTCACTGGTGGTGCAGTAGTTAATGCATCTGACTGCTTACCCAGAGGTCGGCAATTCCAGACCACCATTCTGAGATAGCAAGATGAACCTTCCCACTTCTGTAAGGATTTCTTGCATTAGAAACACCATAGTAAGCTCTGCATTGTCCTGTGAGGTTATTGAGAATTGGAATTTATAAGATGCTACTGAGTTTATATGTTTGTTTACTTGTTTCTGGTTGATAAATTTTGTGTAAATTCATTCTCCCAAGATTTTGTTAGTCAGTGTGTTTTTTTGGTTGGGTTTTTTCTTATTCATGAGATGCTTATTAAAATAACACATTTAGAGGGGGTAAAAATCAGTACACTGTATACATCATTACTGAAAACTGTATACCATCATACAAAAATAATTTTATTTGGGGAAACGGATTTCTAATTTAAGGCAAGTTTCACTTCAGAAATAAAACCATGCTGAGTGAAGAATGTTCTTGTTTGTAGCAGCTCCTTTCTACTATCAGGTACCAGGACTCTGCCATTTGGAGTGATTTCAGCCACCAGGTCACCAGCAAAAATGTGTTCTGGCCCTTTTTCTTTCATTACCTCTTAACAGTGTGCTTCCAACTGGTCCTTCCAGCCACATTCAGTTAGTTTGGCTCTTAGCAGTTCTTTGAGACGTTTTCTTTTTCCAGTTTCTATCAACTTTGGATTAATCACTGCCCTCATCTGTGCATCTTTGTTCATCTTGCTAACCCACACTTTTGGGCTATCCAGACTTAGACCCTCAGTAGCTCAGGCATTTAAGCATACAGAAAGCTAGAACACGCATTTCCAGGCATAGTGGTTTTTAATTAGATCCTTCTGTAAATGAAACTGTACTATAAACTAGTGGGAGTAAGTATTTTGCTGGGTTGCTGTGTATTAGAAATCTTACTTAGAATGCTTAAAGTCATGAAATATATATCTTCTCAACAACTTAACTATTTCTAGTTGCAATATTAAATCATAAAAATTAGATCAAACTGTAAATATGTTGCCAACATAATCAAGTATAAACTGAATTAACATTCTAAGATCATTGCCTAGTGAAAGGATTACCTTTAGAGATAATCCTTTTTAAAAAAAAAGTTGAAATTTGTTTTACAACAGAGCAAGCATTGTGTTATTCTCTCTTATTTGTGTTTCTGTTCTCCCTGTCTCATTTTGAATCCTAGAAATGGCTGAGCAAGAGCGCTTTCTACTACATCAGGAGACCCTCCCAGAGCAACTGCTAACAGAGAAGCAGCTCAGTCTTAGTGCAATGCCAGTGCTCACTGCTGCTCAGCTCATCAGTGTATGTGCTAAACTGAGCTCTGCATCCTAATCTCAAAGCATCTTCATTCTCCTGGGGCTGTATGGTATAATTTTGAAATCAGTTGTCTTTCTGCTTCCTACTTACTGATAATTTCCCCTAAAAAAAGTTATTGGAGGCGCAGGACAGAAATCTAATCATCAGAAAGCAGTTTACCAGCCTCCTTCTTCCTGCTCTGGTGGCCTGGTGGGTCAGGAACTGCACTGTTAGCCTAAACACAGGTGGTTCAAATCCATCAGCTCTCTGTGGGACAAAGATGGGCAATCTCCTTCCATGTACTTTACACCCTCTGAAAACTCACTGGATGGTCAATGAGTTATACTTTTATAGTATAGGACCTATTTGTATGTAAAAGTGTATATAAATACACCCTGGAGGCACTTTAGTCCCAGAAACTGGCTTTATACAGCTTAAGGGGCAATGGAAAACTTGACACTTTGTTTCCTGAGGATGTGTGGGCTGTAGCTGGGTAAAAGGGTTTAGTATTGTGTACATTTCCAGTGTTAACTCTACAACTTTCTTTTCCATTTAAGAAACTATTTCAAATACAAAGTTATTATTGTAGGAGTGCCTTTAATTTACTGTAGTTACATTTTTTAAACCAAATAATTTTAAAACTTTATTATGCTAGCCATTATAGTAGCTGATTTCTTCTGATTTTATAGAGGGGGGGAAAAAAAGTCCAAATCCAAAAAAAACCCAACCCCAATACCCAGTGATCCTAATATGATGGTGTAGAACTGCCTTACAGTGTTTTCAAGGCTGTAATCTTTACAGAAACAGATTGTTACATCTTTGTCTAATACATTCACACCACAAAACTTTTGCTTTGCAGATGAGGGCTTAATTGCTGTGCCACAAGAGCCCCTTCTTCCTTGATAGAGCATGTCTTATTATTTACTAATAAATTTAGAAGTAATTTTTAAGCATTATAACAAAGTTTCTGAACAAATAATTAGAGAAGGTGGACTATGTGAAGAATATGGTACCCGGATTGGAGAAAGACTACATTATGCAGATAATATCATCATGCTGCTGAGAATAAAGAAGACTTGAAAGCAACTTACTGCAGGAAATCAAGGACGAAAGCCTTCTGTGTGGATTACATCTCAATGTCAGGAAAATAGAATCCTCCCCACTGGACCAATAAGCAACATCATGAAAAATGAAGAAAAGATTGAAGATGTCAATTATTTCAATTCATACTTGGATCCACAACTGACACCCATGGTAGCAGCAGTCAGCACCTAGAAAATCTGCTGCTGAGGACCTCTCCAAAGTCCTAGAAAGCAATGGAGTCATTTAAAGGACTTAGATGTACCTGATACAGGCCACATGGTCTTCTTAGTTATCTCCTGTGCATCTGAAAGTTGGACAATGAATAAGGAAGACTGAAGAAGTGTCTACCTTTGAACTGTGGTGAATTCACAATATTGAATATCCCATGAACTGCCAAAAGAACCAACAAATCTAACATGAAGAAAGTACAACCAGAGTGGTACTTAGATGCAGGAATGGTGAAACTTCATCTAACGTATTAGTCCTAAGAATATCAACTTACTGACATTTTAAAACCGTCTGCCCCTATCCCCCTTGAAAATTGCCTTAAACACAAAATTTTATAAGACCAAAGGATCAACAGCTGTTGTAAAACACAGATGAGAGGGGTCAGGGGTACATGATTAAGCAAATCTAAGTTTCTGTTCCAGCTAGAATAGGAATGATGAGAGCGTTGGCACAATAGGAAGAATATAGACAGTGTCACTAATCACTACATCTAGAAACTGGAACAGAAGTGTGTTTTTTGTGTGTCTTTTCATCAGGGAAAAAAGAATTATATACCAAATTTTGCAAATGATGTACCATGCATGTAGCATGCATTTAAGAATATAGTTTGTAAGGAGCGAAAATGGCAGAGTGAGGTGCACCCTGCTGAACCAGCCTCGGGGCCGGAGGGATCGGGCTGGGCCTGGGATGTCAATTGCGTTTATTGGATTATGTAGCTTCCTTAACACAGGAAGAGCATTTTCCTTGACATTTAGGTGCTTTTATATTTTCTTCATCCGAGAAAGAAAACAAAATTCTGAACTCAGGACTTGACAAGCATTTCTGTGTTGTCTCCTGTGTCAGGAAGGTACTCCTGCTTCTTTTATCTGGCCACATTACCTTGTCTTCAAATTTGGATATTACTTCTATACAGTTTGCCTCCAGGATTTTGAATGGGAAAGGCAGCTTTTCTTTTTAATTCCACCTCTTAAATTCAACATGGTGAAGTCCCTAAATCCAGTCATTCTGCCAACTTCTCCAAAGAAAGAATCAATTGTCGTGGGTCTTACTTAATGGTAAAGAAATTATTTTAAAAACTGGAGTCTGATGATCTTAATTGGAAACACACACTTTGATGATAGTATTTATGAATTCTTTACCTTTTTTTCCAAAAAGAAGACTAAATAAATAGCAAGAATGGATGACTTCAAGGGTTGTTTAAATGTTTTCCGTTTTCAGCCACCATCATGGAAAGCAGAGTTCACAAAGCAGCAATAAATTCCAAATATGCGATCCAACTTCAACTGACAGAGATGGTTAAAAGTTACATTGATTTGTGTATCTAAATCCTGGATCAGCTCTCACAGTTTTCTTAATAAACAAAGGTCCTGTTTTGCAGTTAAACTTTTGATGTGATAAAAAGGATGAAGACAAAATACCTTGAGGTTAGTATACAAGAAAAAAACTATTATATTCTCAGTGCAAAGAGATTTTCTTCTAATTTTTTTTTTTTTTTTTTTTTTTTACGAGAAGAGGGATATTTCTGCTAACGAGCAGCTTTGTTCACTTTCTTCCTCAGAAGTCTTTGGACACTGGTATTTAAAATGTTTTTTGCTTAAATGAGGACTAGACTGGACGTTGACTTAATGAGCACATACTGAGGCCTAGTGAAGGAGAGGTAAAAGAAAGAAAGCAGTCTTGATTCAGCCCAGTGATGGAAACCTTTTTACTTTCCTAGGAAGTGAAGCTGTGGAATAAATAATTTCATCTTTCTTTCTGGAGTCTGTTCATAATAATACTTAAGACTTGGCCTCTCGTGTCATGGCTGGAAGAAGAAAATTGACATGAATGGTTTTTCAATTCAGAAGATGTTGACAGACTCAAATATATGATCTGCTTTCAATTTTGGATTGAAAGAAATTGGGGGAAATGAGAAAAGGTTTCAGATAACTCCTTTCTCCTAGAAATAAGAAGCAAAGATGCCTTATGCAACTCAGTCTTACTTTTTATATACTTGAGCTCCATTCTTTATAAAAATGAAGTAACTTTTTTCCCTTAAAAAAATAATATAGTTTGTTACATGTTATACATAGAACAATTTTAAAGCCTAACACTGTACTATAAAGATACCTCTTTTGTTCTTGGATGCCTTCAATTTGAGTACTACTCACAGCAGATCTCAACTCTGCCCTATCGTGCACCATCTTCATCATCTCTCACACACTTGAGCCCATCGCTACAGTCACTGTGTCAGTCCATTTCATTGACTGACTCTCTTGACTCTCCACATTTCCAAGCAGGATGTTTCTTTCCGAGAAATAGCCTCACCTAGCAACATGTCAATAGTTTGAGGGACAAAGCTTTGCCATCCTTAGAGCACTCTGGCTACGCTTTCTCCAAATCATATCTATGTTGTTTTGGCAGTCCATGGGATACTCGGTATTCTTCTCCAACACTTCAACTCAAAGGCATCATTCTTCTGTCATCCTGATTCATTGTGCAGCTCTCAGATACATAGCAACCACAATTGAAGGCAGTCTGGCACTTTCTTAGAAGGTTGTAAATAGAAATACCATTTGACCTAGCAATTCCACTACTAGAAATATACCTTCCACAAACCAGAGCTACAACTCAAACAGTATGCACACCCATGTTTATTGCCGCATTATTCACAATGGCAAAGTGATGGAAACAACCTAAATGCACATCAACAAATGAATGTATAGAAAAACTATAGTATGTCCACACACACAGTGGAATCTTATGCAGACCTGAAAATCAGTGACTTCATAAAACACTACACAACATGGGTGAGCCTGGTGGACATTGTACTGTGTGAAATACTTAAGTTACAAGAGGACAAATACTGCATACACCACTGTTACAAAGAAAAACTGACTTGAGAGGTTGGGGGAAGATAGGAAAAGATTAGATAGATATTGAACACTATATTGGAACTGATGAGGGGAAGAACAGTCCAAAAGAAATATATGATTAGGTATTATGTGCATTAAAGCAATCTGGAATAAGAGGATACTGCAGAGTGGACTAGGGGAGGGACAGGAAGGAGGAGAGAAGAAGAAAATGTGCAACAATGAATTAATTAAAAAAAAAAGACGACTATTGCCTCAATCAGGCTCACCTTAGCCTTCAAACTATCATTGTTGTTCCTCAGTAACTTGGAGAAGTTTGCAACAGCAGACTTGCATCTGGTCTCCTGACTGCTGATACCAAGGATGTTAATTGTGGATCCAAGCAAGATGAAATAATTGACAGTTTCAGTCTTTTCTCCATCTATCATGATGTTAGCTATTGATCCAATGGTGAGGATTTTTGTCTTCTTGATGTTGAGATGCAATGCATAGCTTACTTAAAAGAGATGCTAATTATTTCTTCCATTTGTTTCTCCATTATTGTTATATGATTACTTAAAATAATTCTATACATTTGTTACCATAGCTATATATCTGTGAAGAAAACAGAAGAACTAATGAGTATGATTTCAAGAAGGCTTTGGACTTGCTGGAATATATTGATGAGGTGAGAAAAAATCACTTGAGATTATCTCTGATGACTGTCACAGTATGTGTCATTTTCTGTGGAACAAAATACATGTATAAAACAGGTAGAACCATCTTGAAGCCAGTCTATTCAAAGGAAAAAGGCTTTATCACAAATTTGTCTACCTTTACCTGTTGAAATGTGCATAAAATTCCCATTCCCTCCTCCCCCAAAACAAACAGTTGCCTTCAAGATAATTCTGAGCTTGTGTGCAGAGTAAGACTGCCTCATGAGGCTTTTAAGGTAGGGAGCTTTTCACAAAAGATGACTTCTGAGTATAAGTGGGCAGATCTATATAAAAAAGCAAAAATGTCACTTTAATGACTAAGGAGCATCTGCAGCCATCTTATTGTCACCTCATATGTATGGAGGGAATTTGGTAGTGTAGTGGTAAAGAGCTGTGCTACTAACTCAGAGGCACATGGTTCGAATCTACTAGTTCCTCCAAAGGAAAATGTTGGACAGTCTCCTGTGCAATTTACAGCCTTTGCAAACCCACTGGAAGGTTGGCTGTGAGGCAATTCTGACTCAGTGGCACACAACAACACTGTGTATTTGGAAACTGGACAATGAATTAGGAAGATGGGAGAAAAGCTAATGCATTTGTACTATAGTAATGGCCAGAAATATTGAACTGCAAGAAAAAGAAACCCATCTGTCTCGGAAGAAGTATGCCAGAATGCTCCTTAGGAAAGGGAATGGCAAGACTTTATCTCATATACTTTGGACATGTTATAAAATGTTCAAAGTTTTGTATGCCCTTCTCAGTCCCTGGAGAAGGGCAGCATACTTGTTAGAGTAGAAGATCAGTAAAAAACAGGAGGACCCTTAAAAAGATGGATGGACACATTCTTAAAAAAAAAAAAAAAGGCTTAGCCCAGCAACAATTGTGGGAATGTTATAAGAATGTTTCATTATAGCTAATGTTGCTATAAGTCCAAACTGACTTGAGGGCCTCTAACAACAAGATAGCATATACATAATACAATAAAGTACATTAAATTTATATGTAACCTAAGTAGTTGTTCTATTACCTGGCTATATAATCTATTAAAATGATTGGTAGGTTTAAAAATAAGATACATTGGCTTTTATATTACCTTGTTTAAGATCTTAATCTTAGTGCTTGTTTTGACAGCACATGTACTAAAGTTAGAATGATACAGAGAAGATCATCCTTGCCCCTGCACAAGGATAACACACAAAGTCATAAAGCATTCCATATTACTGTTTTAAAATGTGGCCATGCATATTGTACAGCTTCCATTCAAAAAAGAGCTTCATGAACATTCATGGGATGGAAAGAGTAATCTTAAGGGTCCCTGACAGCACTGTGGCATCAGGCTAGTGACCTACTGGCTCCTCCAAAGTGATGAGAAAATTAGTTCCTTGAAAGTTTACTTATGTGATCACTGTTTCATATGTGATCACTGAGACAGAATCAGGGTTTTTTAAATAAACACACTAATTTTTTTAAAAAAACGTCTTAACCTTCTCCATGTTCTTGATAAAATCAAATTATCAGAGTAATTGAAATCTAATGCACACAAAGCTATTAATTGGTGTACTCTTAAAAAACAAAAGCTTTTAAAAAAGAAATTATAAAGCCATTTTTATGTAGAATTATGATGACATAATTTTAAGCATGTATTTGCATTTTAAAATTCCTATTTAATGACCTTTTTTTTCCTTCCCTCAAAGGAGGAAGATGTAAATATCAATGATCTAAAACTGGAAATCCTTTGCAAAGCTCTTCAGAGAGACAAGTATGTTCTAACATGAATTGAAGATCTGGTTTCAGAGAGGGACACACTTTAGGAAGAGTATTATTTTAGACATGAAACTGATTTTCCGCTTTCTAATTTTAATATATAATGCATTACTAAAGTTTTAATGGTTGTATAAGTAATTTAAATTTTTAATTTGACCCTGAAGGATATATGATCACTGGCGTAATAAGTTACTACTTTTGGTTTTTAAGTATCATCTGCAAATTTGCAGAAATGTGTCCTTTTCTCATTTTCACAAAAGTAGAACCAGTTATACCAAAGAAGATACAAAACTGCTTTTTAAGAATAAAAAATTACTAAAACTTAAGGGTCAATATTACCTTCAAAGTTGCTGAGTACCTCATTTTCACGGTCATCTTGCTACAGAGAAAGACTTCCATCTACAGTAATAGGATGGACCCTTTACAGGAAAAGAATTTTAAAGAGATTGTGACATAATTGCTAGAAGCTTTCTCCTACTTACAGTTTTCCTTTCTTCTGTGGTGCTGAGATGTTCCAATAGAGTTCCTTTTACTGAAGTGTTTTCTTCCTCTAATCACTCCCAAATAGTTAAAATTGTTACTACATTTGGTCTAAGAGGTTACCCATGAAGCTTTTAGTCCTAGGCTTACACACTGTACATTCCTTTCCCGTCCCAATCATACACAAAAGATGCAGTCCATTTGACTGAGATCCATTGTCCTGGCTTCTTGTTTAGGAGTATTTAAGGTAGTGTGTGATACATACTCATTTATCGCTACAAAGCAGTGGTTCAGTATGTTTGTATATTTCGTAGTTAGATAATCTCAAATAAAGTTTCTCTTCCCATGTTATGCTACTAAGTTCAGCTACTGATGATATTTTAGCTATTGCTTGTACATAACTACACTTCGGTATTCATACGAGATTTGTTATTTAAATACAGAATTTTCTTGAGAAAGATAACAAACTACTAAGTTTTTATGTTTCGGATGAATAATTACACAGTGCAGCATTTTAGCTAGTAGAGACTCCCAAGTGTATCCAGTATTTGAAGCGCTCTCTTTTAATTTCCTAAAGGTTTAAACTCCCCATCCCCATCATCAGAAGAAAAGTCAATCTAGTAGACACCTCTTTTAGAAAAATTTCTATCATTTTATATTCACTCCAGTACCTTTGTTTTCCAGCTGGTCCAGTTCAGATGGTAAAGATGATCCCATTGAACTATCTAAAGACAGCATATTTGTGAAAATATTGCAGAAACTTTTAAAAGATGGTAAGCGGTTTGTTACTATTGGAAATTACAGCTTCATTCTTCAGCTTAAGAAGCCTTGGATTAGTAACGATTTACTAGGATATCAAATAATGAGAATGGTTTAAAATGAAATGTTTCATATGCAGAATTAGAAAGATTTGTTTAGCAAAAGTCTAGAACGTTTTTCTCTTCCTGCAGCAGGGGAAGTACATATCAAGAAGGTTTTTATCAGCCTTCATCTGGTTGACTCCAGATGGACAGGGACCCTTGGAGGGGCAAACTTATTTAATTTCTTTTTTGCTTTACTTATTTTGTTTAATTGTGCAGTTGAGGTTTTTTGTGAAGATTAAAAAACTTGAAATGAGATCTAAACCTTGTTGCTATATCCTCTAGTAAACTTACTAAAGAACAAATAAAAGTACGTTTGCCAACTGATTTTGGACCTCAACACTCTATATTCATCCTAAATTCATTATCAGTGCTCCGCTCATTGCCATCGAACCAGAACCAACACATAGCTGACCCTCCCAACAGGTTTTCAGAGGCCTGTCTTGCAAATCTTTCTCGTGAGAAGCAGCTGACAGGTTCAAACCACCAACTTTTGGGTTGACAGTTAAATTCTCTACCCACTAGAGCACCATAGTAACAAATTTTTTTTTTAAATTTCATTATTTTTTGTGTGTACTGTCAAATCAGAGCTGACTGGTACAAGAGGAGATTGTTCCTCCTTCTCTAGCAGAGCATCTGGTGGGTTTGAACTGTGCACCTCTGAGCTTGCAGTTGCAGCTTCTTGCCACTAGGCCACCAGAGCTTGCCTACAAAATATTTTTTAAAAAGGCAAGAAGGAGTTATGTTTTGCATTTATGCCTAAGACACCAAAATTCATTTGCCAATAAAAGACACAGCTAAGAAAATTTAGAGATATACAGCTCTCTGGGAAAAGATAAATTTTAGAAGACTCTCCTCCTCTTACATTATTGGAAACAATGTGTGAATAATATTTTGCTGGAAGTAAGAGGTTTTTACATTTCATACATAAAAATAGCCTATTAAATTAAAAAATAAATTATTTTAATCAACATGCTGACACTTAAATACGTTCATATATACATACATTATTTAAGCTCCATAAAACATGTTTAGCCTAGTGCCTGATACATAGCAGTAGTTATAAATAATTATTCTTTGAGTGGATAGAGTTATTTGCAGCTCTATAGCCCCAACACTTTTATAATAGGATCTACTACCTCTCCTTAGTTGATTCGGTCTCTACAGCTCTCCATTTTAAAATCACCAGCTTAATTAAATGAAATGAAGAAATGCTTGGAAGTTTGATGAATTGCCCATGCTTTTCTGAGGTCAGGAGACGCAAACTCTTGTTTGTTGTCCATATATTTTCCCCATAGATTTCCTAGGGTTATTTTCTAAACTTTTGGTCTTCTGTTATAGCTGATCACATGTAAATGCAATTCTGTAACTAGATTGCTTAGAACTTACTCAATAGACCTGGATATTTTTAATTTATAAAAGATGGAACATATGATCACACTACCATTACATATAAGCATGTTTAGTTAGTATGTTCATTTTTAGGGAAATTAAACCTTTTGTCAAAAATTTAGAAATAAATGATGGGCCATAGCAAAACTATCCCTTGCTTAGACACTTAAACTTTAGAAAAAGCTAATGTTTATCTATTGGCTTTCTTGTTTCTCTATTTGGAACTGAGGAAATTACAAGATATGCATGATCTTAGTGTTGAGCCTAATAAATTATTGGAAAGCACTTGAACCCAAAACTTACGCTTTCCACATAGAAGCATAACTTAACTGAGTAGTGTCTAAGTATGTAGTTCTATTGTAGTATTTATTGGAGTACATTATAAACCATAGATGGAAAACAGGAATGAAGCATTATGATTTTACAGAGAAAATGATCCCATTTTCACTCATAAGAAACCAGTAGAAATTTTTATATACATAAAAATGCATAAATGAAAGATATTTACTATAAAGAAATAAATATATCTTGTTGTTGTTGTTGTTAAGTGCCATGTAGTACTGACCCCATAAAGAAAAGACTTTAACCTTATTGTATAACTATTGTCCTTCCTCTAAGTTGATAGAGTTTCCACAGGTGTGTTTAGGAAGTAGATGCCACTCCTGCTTCCAAGCCTGTCTTAATCGGTTAGCTAACCAGATATTCTAACCATGTGTAACATTATGGCACTTGACAGACCACTGGCACAACATTCAATATCACAGCAATTAATAGTTACCTCAATACAGAGAAATAACAGAATAGTACTATACCACTAGATGGCACTTAACAACAACAACAACAGTGTATATTACCAAGTCTTTGTCTTCATTTTGGACTTCATTGGCTCAACTCTGTATGATGTCACTCTTGTTTTGGTTGAGGGTCCGTGCAGATTGTTTCAGTGCTTAAGCCTCTTGTTTCGAGTCAGTAAGACTTCCAGGAGGACACTTGCATTTAAGGCCAAGCCCTTGTCTACATTTTGGAAACTGGGTGAAGTGACTGGACTCTGTAAGATGGGCTCTCTTGTTTTGGTTGAGGGTCCTTATGGAATACTTTTTGATTGCTTTGTTTTTTGTTTTATTATTATGAAAGCCTCTTGTTTAGAATAAACAAAACCTCCTGGAGGGTCTTTATATTTAATAAGTTGGGTCCAAGGGACTATCTTATAATCCTTTGTTACTATTTTTTTGAGGAACATTCTTCTAAGTCGTACAGTACTCTTCTGTAAGTTTACTGGGCTGAGGTAATCTGGGTTTGCTGTGATGCTGAAACTTTTATCATTGGGGTCTCAAAAACCATAATGGCTGCCCATGGTGGACAGTGTTTGGTGGAGCTCCCAGTTTTACAGCAGGTTGGGGTGCAGGAGTGGCATCTACTTCCTAAACCATGTGTCTCTAGAGACTCTATGAACTTGGAGAAAAAATAGTCATAGAAGGGCCTCAGGTCTTTTGTTCATGGAATTGCTGTGAGTTATGTACAACTCAGTGGTAATTAACAACACATGAAACCTATACCTAAATCAAGAAGCTGTTACCCAAACAGAGCAAGAGAATATACAATGGATTAAAATCAAGGAAGATGTACATTAAGACTGTATCCTTTCCTCAAGTGTATTTAGTCTATATGCTGAACAAATCATTCAAGAAGTTAGACTATATGAAGAAACATGTGGCATCAGAATAGGAGGAGATTGGGGAAGCAGTGGAATGCTCCCAGATGGGCATTTTTGGATGGTGAGAGCCAGTGGGAATGCTTGATTATGGAGGAATGTGAAATGGTGGAGTTCATGGAGTTTGAACCTTGCCTTGGTTCTTAAATTTGGTTGGACCTTGGGCCTGGTTTTAATTGGTTTTGGTCAAACATTCTTCTAAGTGGCATAGCACCGTTCTGTCCGTTTGCTGTACAGAGGTAACTCGTGGTTGCTGTGATGCTGAACACTGTGACACTGATGTGTCAAATGCGATAATGGTGGACAGTGTTTTGATAGAGTTCCCCAATTAAAATTATATTGGAAGCAGGAGTGGCATCCGCTTCCGAAATAACTTGCCTCTGGAAACCCTATAAACTTAGAGAAAGGATGAAAGTTCAAGTCTTTCATTCATAGGATCAGTATGAGTTGTCTACGACTCAACAGCACTTAACAACGATAGATAGATAGATAGATAGATAGATAGATAGATAGATAGATGATAGATAGATAGATAACATATATTTGGGGAATCATTTTAATAATTAAATTTATATGCAATCAGACAGTCTGATGGCTTGTTCTGTAGGGAACTGCCAGACTAGCCCAAAGACATCTACTGGGACAAATCTAATGACTCCCAGCAGAGAAAGATGGGCAGCTTCCTTCTGTGTGATTTATGTCCTCGGAAACCCAATAGATGGTCACTGTGAGGCAATTCTGAGACAACAGTGAGGGGGTTTTGGTTTCTTGTGTTTTGTTTTAATATACAGTTGTCCTTTTAAATATTTGCCAGCACCACATTGAAGTATTTAAATAACAGTCAGCCATAGCTAATAGTGCTCTTCCCTGGGACTCCCCTTAAACAACCAGGTCGCCTTTACTTTGTGGCTCTTACCTGCCTGCAGACATTTAATTTGCTACCCTTTCTTTAAAGAGAAGCAGCAAGTTCACAGGTATTTGTTCTAAACAGAAAGGTTGCACTTTAAAAACAAAATGTTACATTTTTTAAAAAAGTTATCCATATAAATGTAATATTTTCAAACGTATAAAAATTTCATTGAAAGTTATGCTTATTATAATATGCAGATGTACAGATCTATGGATTTCATTGCATAACATTCCTCAATTTGTATTTTTACTATATAACAAAGTACAAGTAAGTGTGCTAGACACTTTGAGAGTGCTAAAATATTTAATTTTTTTTACTTTTATGATAATATGATGATGAATTATAAAATATAAGAATGAATTATAAAATTAAAATGCTTGATTGCTAACCTTGGTTCAAACCCACCAGCTATTTTTTTGGAGAGAAGAGATTTGTTTTTTGTAAAGATTTATGGCCATTATCTTGCTCATGATTAACAATCTGAAACAAGATGGGCATTACAAAGTGTCCTTGCAGAGGGGTAAACGAGATGGAGGGAGGAAAATATGCAATAATGAATGAATGAATCACAGTTTTTTAACAAAAAATGCCAATGACCCTAAGGTAAAAGTGTCACGTGCAGAATTTTCATAAATGTCTGAAGAAGCTGGTTTTGTAACCATAAATATTTTCATTTTAGTCAGTATGCAAAAGTAGATTTCTGCTAAGTGTTCTATAAAAGGAAAGACTGTGCTAAAGATACCAAGTAAGTCCTTTTATTCAAGTTTCTCATAGCAGATCATCAGCTCTCTTACTTGTATATAAGGCTGGACTAAATTGAGAATCTTGTCAAGTAGCATGGTCCAACCAAACCTGAGTATCCCTTGGGCTTGTTAACCTGTGAACTAAATGGTATAAGTCAGGCAATCTTGAGTAATAAATTTCAAGAAGGATTTTTATATAAAAATGTATGGCCTTAGATTCTATTTTGAAAGGGAGGATCTGCTCTGTCCAGTAGGGTGAAATGGGTTAGAACTGCACTGTGACCTTGGGTTTAGTTTAATTTATGGTAATGTAACAAACTATTAAATATTGTATCATTAACTTACGTTTCATTTAATTTTCTTAACCAAACAAGAAAATTGTGTCTTTCTAACCAGAGATCTCAATGGAAATCATTAATCACTGTATATTGATATACATGTCATAGAAGAAGTTCTTTCACCTATCACTTTCAGGCTTAAAGCTAAAACTTACATTTTGAGATGCTTAGTTCTTGTGATAGTATTTCTACTACTCTTTCCAAAATACATGAAACTATAACTGAAATGATGTTTTAAAATCATCACTGGTGAAGTAACTTTCACACTGAAGAAATGTTTTAAATGTGTAGGAGTGGGGTAGGCAGGGTGTGGTAAATGAAAAAATTTCAGCTCTTATTAAAAACTTTAAATAGATTGACTATTTTAACCATCATGGGAAGGGCAGCCAAACTCTCAATAGCTTCTAGTTGAAGAATGTCATGTTGTTAGACAAATATGTTTGATAGATAGAAGGAATTCGTGGCAGAGTATAGCAGAAGGTTATTTTAAATAGAAGCATAGGTGTTTTTGTTACTAGTCATCTTAATTCATTTGATCTTCATATAAAGATTAAAAAGATGTTTGCTTGCTTTATTTTTATAGGCGTCCGGCTCAGTGAGTACTTACCCGAAGTGAAAGACTTGGTACAAGCAGATCAGCTTGGAAGCTTGAAGGCCAATCCCTACTTTGAATTTGTTCTGAAAGCAAATTATGAGTATTATGTCCAGGGACAAATATGACTTTCTGAAAATGGCTGTTTTCTGCATGTATTAAAGCTTGAGATGTTGCATATCTCAGAGTTTATATTTACATGAGTGACTGTTTTTTACTTTATGAAATAAAGGAGCTTGTGGCTATTTTGCTTTTCAGTTCAAACTCTTTTCCTCCTATTTTTGTTTATCAGGCTCCCATCCTTGCTGCCTTTTCCTTTCAGTTTCATGTCTTTAGGAGTTATGGAGTGCTTGTCCTGGCTCCTCCACAGCTCATATGTAGATGGAGCACTGAACTCTACACCCTAGTGTCTCTGAGATCTCTGACTGCATCTGTGCACTCCAGAGAGTCAAGGTGTTTGGCATGTTTTTATTTATGGGTGAAAAATAAGGTAAATGTCAAGATTTTCTGGATTATGAGACTAAAAATGAAAAAAAAAAACCAACAACAAAACAGCAATGGTTCATTAATTTGATGACTGGTTAATTCACTGGGAAATTTTAAACTTTTCTCCATAAATAATAACAAATGACCATTGATAAAATTATTTTAGTGGATAAAACATATTTATGTGGCTTCCTTATCCAACTCGACATTGCTATTTATAATAAGTTGTTAGTGTTTCTTGTTGTATGTAGTCTTTGTGTCTGGGCATTCAGTCAGCCTTATGTATACTCAGAAGAATTTCCACTGGAATCCTATCCTAGAGCACATGTCCATCTAGAAGATAGCTGCTGATTTAACTAAAAAACTGTGTATGAAAATCCGTGGCTCCCTTAAATCTTTTTTTCTGAGACTAGTGTCATCAGACAAATTTTATATAGCTTTAAATAAAAGGTAGAGAATAGATAAGAAAGTGTTGACATACCCATACTTGGCCCAGCTGAATGCTTACTAAACAACTTAATCCAATAGCTGAAAAGGCTGTAAGTTAACCAGGGAGGAGATTCCAAGTCCTGGTTTCAGGAAGGACAGCCATCATGCTACTTCCCTCATGGTCCAGACCTTGAACAACTCATTAGTGGATATATTAATGATTGGAAGAAAGAAAAAAAATCAGCATCCTGTCCTTTTTTCCTTGTAGCTAGTGTTAGCTCATCATCTAGGTCCAGGTTATTGTTGTTATATGCCATCCATTCAACTAAGACTCATAGCTACCCTATGAACAACAGCTCTGAACTTGCCCAATCCTGAGCCAACCCCACTGTCTCTGACACACACCTGACCCCATTCCCTCCTGTGCCATCACTTCACCCTTCCAAGCTGATGTCCTTCTCCAAGGATTGGTGCTTCCTGGCAGTATCTCCATGTGAGATACAGCTTTAAAATCCTAGCCTCCAAAGAGAAACTTGCTTTCACCCTCTCTAGGATAGAACTATTCTCTTGGCAGTCTGTTTATTCTGTATTCTTCTCTAACACCACAACCCAAAGGCATGAAGTCTTCCATCATCCTTAGTCATTGTCCAGCTCTCAGCAATTGAGAAGCTGCAATTGAGAAGACCATGGCCTGAAACAGGCTTACCTTAGTCCTTAGACTGACATCATTGCTCTTTAGCACTCTGACAATGTCTCTGACTGCAGATTTTCATAATTTGTCTTTTGATATCCTGACTGCTGGTGCCAAGGATGTTGATTGTGGATCCAAGCAAGATGAAATTGTTAAAACCTCAATGTTTTCTCCATCTATCACAATAGGCCCAGATTGAGGCTGTTAAGTAACATGAAGAAATGGATGCTGGCAGATGAATAGTGATAAAACACAGAACACACATGTGAAGAGATGGGAAACCAGAAGCAGTGAGTGTCCAGTTCTTGCCTTCATACTTCTGTCTGTAATAATGTGTCCTGGGACCACACATGGCAGCCACACTTCATAGACTGTCAAACCCCACATCCTCCACCACAAGAACACAGGAAAGACCACACAGCATGGCATGTTGTTGTCCTCTACCTTGAGAACCTTGGAGAAAAGAACTGCAGTGTGGCACATTGTTCTTAAGTACCATCTAGTAGACTATGTATCAGCGACTTTGTGATCAGCCGATCTGAATCTTGCCCTATGCTGAGGCCTACTCACCATCTCTGCCATGGTAGAGCCCATTTCTACAGTCCCTGCATCAATGTCTCATTGAAGATCTTTCTTAGCCCTTCCACCTTTCATAGCATGATATCTTTAGTCAAGGACTGGTCAAGGACTATATGACACAGGAGGGATGAAAAGGAAACCCTTAGGCAGTAGCTCTAGCACCAAGATTCTTGGTTTTAGGGGAAAATAAAACATTGATGTGAATGAAAAGCCTAGGATTTTCAATATGTTTTAAATATATAAATGTTGAAGTAAATTAATGGAAGATTTCAAAGGGAAGATTGAAAAAATAAAAGCATTGTACTGTAATGTATGAATAGCTGGTGTCAGAAAATAAAGGAAGAAAACACTTGTCACTTCTCAAGCTGAAAGAAATGAACAAATGCAAAGCTCAACTTGCAATACTAAAAGACTCTGGTCAAAATCTTGGACTGTCAAAAGAACAAATAAATATGTCTTGGAGAGGTTGCAGCTGGAGTGCTCTTTGGAGGCAAGAATGATGAAGTTTCATCTTCTATACTTCAGTTATGTTGCTAGGAAGACATGATGCTCAACCAGTTGAATTGACATGGTGATTGCTGCAGTGGCCTCTAGTGTGTCAGGAAGTGTGAGAATGGCACAGGATATGACTTGATGGCACCTAAAAATAATATATACATTAAAAATGTTGAATTGGAAAATTTGTATTCTTTATATTTTTATATAGACTATAATGAAATGTGATATATTTTTAAAGTATGATAATGAAAAAAATACTTGTTCAGTCATTAGTTGTTTACTAAACTGATAAAGCAGAAACTAAATTGGCCACATGTGTCAGGAAATGTGAAGATGGCACAGGATAGAACAGGGTTTAGTTCTGATTATCATAGAGTGGCTCTGAGTCATACACAACAGCACATAACAAATTCAATATGTTGAGTAAATCGTTTGAGAATCTGGACTTTATGAAGAAGTATGGCATCAGGTTTCACATTAGCACAATCAAGTGTTCTGGGATTCCCATTCTTACAGTCAGCTACAGTTTGTTATGATCCACACAGTCAAAAGCCTTTGCATAGTCAATGAAACAGATAAATATTCATCTGGTATTCCCTGCTTTCAGCTAAGATTCATCTAACTTTAGTTACAATATCCCTAATACCATGACCCCTTCTAAACCTGCCTGGACTCCTGGCAGTTCTCTGCTGATGTGCTGTTCCACTCGTTTTTGGAAAATCTTCAGTAGAATCTTGCTTGCATGTGAAATAAATTATATTGTTCTATAGTTTCCACACTCTGTTGGGTCACCATTCTTTGGAATGGCAACAAATATAGATCTCTTCCAGTCAGTTGGCCAAGTGGTTGTTCTCCAGATTTCTTGGCACAACTTGGTGAGCACATCCAGGGAAGCATCTGTTAGCTGAAATCTGTCAATTGGTGTACCATCTATTCCTGGGCCTTATTTTTTGCTATTTCCTTCAAAGCAGCCTGAACTTCCTTCATCACCATAGGCTCTTGCTCATAGTTTGTTTCATGAAATTGTGTGTCTGCCATTTCCTTTCAATACAGTGACTCAGTATATTCTTTCCATCTTTTAATACTTCCTGGATTATTTAATATTCTGCCTAAAAGCATCCTTGATTATAGCAACTCAAGGTTTGAATTTGTTCTTCAGTTCCTTGAGCTTAAAAAATGCTGAGCGAGTTCGGACCTTTTGATTTTCTGACTCCAACTCCTTGCACATTTCATTGTAATATTTTACTTTGTCATTCCGTACTGCCTTTTGAAATCTTCAACTCTTTAGGATCTTGGATTCTTCCTTGTGCTTTGGCTTCTCTGCTCTCCAGTGTAATTTTCAGAGTCACTTCTGACATCCGTTTTGATCTTCTCTTCCTCTTCTGTCTTTGCAATGACCGTTTGCACTCTTCCTGGATGATACCCTTGATATCTTCCCACAACTCATCTGGTCTTTGCTCATTAGTGTTCAAGGCCTCAAACCTGTTCCTAAGATGGTTCTGAAATTCTAATGAGAAACCTATGCTTGGACCAAGAGGCAGTCATCAGAACAGAGCAAGGAAACACTGCATGGTTCAAATTTGGGAAGGGCGTACGCCAAGAGTGTGTCCTGTCTCCATACCTTTTCAGGCCTGTATGCAGAACAGATTATCTGGGAGGCTGGGCTCTATGAGGAAAATGTGGGGTAAAGACTGGTGGAAGATATATCAACAATCTGTGTTATGCATATGTTGTTATGTGCCATCGAATCACTTGTGACTCATATCAACCCTATGTCCAACAGCTCTGAACCTTGGCCTATACTGTCTCTGACACATCTACCCCATTTCCCCAGTCACTGAATCAATTCTCTCATCGAGGGTCTTCTCTCTTGCACTGTCCCTTCACCTCAAACATGATATCCCTCTCCAAAGACTAGTCCCTCCTTGCAACGTGCCCAAAGTGTGTCATATGTAGCTTCAGAATCCTTGCCTCCAAAAAGCAGCCTGGTTTCACCCTCTCCAGGACGAACCTGTTTATTCTAGCAGTCCATAGTGTTACTATATGTCATAGTCAGCTTAATGGCACAGAGCAACAACAACAGCACATATGTAAGATTTATTCCATAGCACAATCTTAAGTGATTGCTGTGTAAGTGCAATACTTACAACTTAAAAGATAGTGGCATACTCAGGATATGAACAGCTACTTCACCATAGAAGATATTCAGATGGCCAACAAGCACATGAAGAAATGTTCAAACTCCCTAGCTCTAAGAGAGATGCAAATCAAAACTATGAGATATCATCTTACCCCAGTAAGAATAGCAAAATTTAACAGAACAGCAAGCAGCAAATGCTGGTGAGATTGTGGAGAAACTGGAACCTTCTTCACTGTTGGTGGAAGTGTGAAACGGTGCAACCACAGTGGAAGGTGGTGTGGAAATACCATTTGACCCAGCAATTC